CCTAAACCACGCTAAGCCAGTAAAGAATTGGCACAAGTTAGAATTCATGGGTCATTGTATCGGGGTCACAGTGGCTTAATGGTCTACGAGCTAGCTTTCCTCGTAACCAGAAGGTTCTGGGTTCGAGCCCCGGTGGGTACGTACTGATGAAGAGTCCCAAACTAGGCTGACGAAATAGCTGTCCAGTACTCCCAGGTTTTCCAATGGTTCGCTAACCAATGTCAGCTCATGATGAGATCTTGTAAGCAAAGAGGAAAAGGTTGGTCAGTGGTGAGGCTAACAACCCCCCTACCCTGTAAAAATAAACACCAACGGCTACCAAAACTTCAAAGCCCTGTCCTATGCTCCACTTCGATCGTAAAGGAATAAAAACGAGCGTTGGATCGATAAGCAAAAGATTCAGTGACTAACCTCTCTCTCTATCTCTATCTCTCTCAACCTAACTACATTACCTTTTAATATCTTTGACCTGTTCCGTTCTATATTGTATGATTTACACACGAGTGAGTGCATTGCAACGGCTGAGTATTTTTTCTTTCTAGATTATTTAATATAGCAAAGTTAATCGTTATAAAGTCTAGCCAAATTTCTATGTTCCAATGATAATCTGATTGACCTTGATCTAGTAGTAGCTTGACCTATTGCGTAATCGATCATGCAATCACTACATGGTATTTGGTAAATTAGTTATATCATTTTTCTTAATTACATCTATCGTGTGCTTAGGTAGACAAAGTTTACCTCTACGGGAATTGATTGATTCAAATGTCACTCAAATTTCAGGGTTATTAAGAAAGAATCTTATGTAGGGCCTCTGCTGTTTCCTCTTTATAAGACACTATACTACAGAGGATTTGAATTCCATGCTATTTAGGTTATTTTCATTACTACTCTTATTTTTCCTTCCTTTGGAATAAATTCTGGTGGATAGAGTCATTCACCACTAATCTTTTCCGTATTTGTTTGGTTTCATTGTTATTTAAATCTTCTGATTTACTACAACTAGACTGTCGACCCGATTATGCAGACATTTAAAACTAAACCTATATTTACCAATTCTGGATGAGATGAATCAAAGTCTAAGTATTTATTAGAGTGTGTCGGTTTCCCATTGAATGCTAATATATCTAAATTGATCACCGGTATCTGCATTCTATCTCCCGTGTTAACTGGTGGGACAATAAGGTGAGCAATAGTCAGATTAGGCGTCGAGTGATAGGTAAGGAGGGGAAATCAATTGACGACGAGGTTGTGAAGTTACATCGATGGAGATGGTTAGGAGGTGCGGTACGCATGCCTAGACATCCATCGATTACCTTCCTTGACGGTCAATGTTAGCTGATTGACATAGGATGGATCAGGTTGGAAAAGAGAAAGCTAGTGGTGGTCAAACTAAAACATGGTTTCATCAGTCAATGAAATCCATAACGGTTAGTTTAAGCCAGCCAGTCAGCCAGCCACATAGGGAAGTGTAGACTGGCTTCCTGGTTGGGTGGGGTCTTCGAGATACTAAGAAGCAAACCAATGGCTGTTGGAGACAATTACTGATATAGCTCAAAATCCTCGTTGTCAATAGCTGGTGCAGGTGCATTCACTCTTTGTGATTTATAATATCCAATAAAACTCAATTGTTCTCCCATATTACTATTCTTTTCCTCTCACTCACACTTCTGTTTATTATCTCTCTTTTGAATATCTTTTTACTCTCTTCTCTTGCTTTATATGCTACAAGTAGGGAGTGTGACAACTTGAAATGTTACACATTTGTACAAAGTTCTGAGTTGAAACCAATCAGTCACTCTAGTGTCTAACCCACCATTTTGTTTTCGGATTCCGTCTACTGTTGAGTTTATATACGTAGAAAACTGAGGGATATCCTCCGACTTCTGTGGTGATGTGATGCAGATAATGTGTGCCAACGGAATATTATTGTCACCTATTCCCACCGTTCAATTCGGCATTAGCAACAGAACACTGTGTATATTTGAAGGTTCTATCTCGTGTCGTTTGATGTAAACCGAAATCACAAGCCCAGTGATTGGTTAAAAACAATATAAACTGTATATATAGATATAGACAGCGGTGTGATCAATGAAAAATAGACCTTGGGGCTTCCGTGCTTTGCCTTCTGTTGTTACACTTTAACACAGTGAAATGGTTTTCACACATACATTGCTGAATAAATTCTCGGGGGTGGGGTCAGTTATTCACCAGTAATATTTTCCTGACTTGTTTGGTTTTATAATTTGAATTTTCTGGCTTACTAACTAGTTAGGCTCGTGACCCGATAACATTAGTTCAGGTTTTTAGAACTACGGTAGCTGTGACTGGCTTCACAGGAGAGTAGTTGAATAGATTAGATACAAGAATTATTATTGTCTATTTTTTTATATTAACTAATCACTTTTTCACAAATTATTTTATGCCGTTAATGTTCATGAGACAGAGAAACTAAATCATGAACTTTAAAAAAACAAAACAACTGAAGATACGAAGAAAGATAAAAGTTGACATTGGAAATGTGGTGTATTGATCTAAATGCCCTAACTTGCTGAATGTACTTTATCTCATATTGATTTTATTCAAATGTCTAATCATCAATTTCACTCATGTATATAAATGAAGCAAGAAGGTTGTGTGAGTAGTGCCTTGATATGATTATGAGCAATAATAATTTGTGCTCGAAAGGTGGTCATCAGTTAAGCCTCCAAAGCCTCAGGATGGTCGGGGGTGGGTGCCTTGCGCTGCGGGTTGGTCACCCCTCCACACACCTCTTGAAATGCTCCCATATGACCAGGCGTCTTACATAGCCTCTCCTGAGGAAGTCCTACTCACTGCCTTCACGTGGCGGAGGTGTTTTTCACCAAAGTGAGAGGGTGAAAGCGGATGCCCGGCGCTCTTCACCGGGTTGACTGTCCATTGGATGACAGTCTAGGGGAGATGGCTAAACCCTGATTCCAAACCTCCAACGACTGGCGTATGAAGCTCACTGGAGCTCACCGGCAGACGTGTGGACAAAGGGCTTGTTGGATGTCCTGGATGTCTGGCCCCATTCAAAAGGCGTATGAACCGAACTCCGGTCACCAGCTGCCAATGGATAGTGGACTCCCTACTCCACCCCTACTGCCTTGTAGGTCACACTTGGTTGTGTAAAGGCTAGAGCTGCACTCTCGAACAAAAGGCCGAGCGATTCTGGGGACATCACTCGTACCAAATTCCCATGAAACTTCATGAACTCTCAGTACAGTCAAGGCTGATATGGAGTGCCTGGGGCTACAAACCGTCTACGGACTCCGTCTGTGGAACAAGAATTGGATAACCCTGTCGCAAAACCTTGCATCAGATCGCCGCGCCTGGGCAGCAATGATTCGAGATGTTCATGAAGCCGGCTCATCCTCTCGTAGGAGATAACCGAAGTAAAGTAAAAGTAAGTTAATATTACTGCACAACACTATGTGATTTCATCAAAATAAAATCTTATCTATAATGGAGTTATACCCTACCACAGTGCCCAAGTCTTACACTTATATCACAAATGTATCTAATTCATTCATATCAGAAAAATAATAGCATGCCTGCATAGCCTATTGACCACTAACCTTAACCACAAGGATGTGACATAGTCTAGAATCCCTGAAGGGATATCAATAAAACAATATACACTTTTCTGAAAAATATAAAATGAACACGAAATCGAAGTCCATTGTGTCTCTCTCTTATAGATTATACCTACCTACACACACCTAACACACATCTTAATTGAGATGGTAAGATACTGTGGCACAATGCTGATCACATTAGAAAAGTTGATTGACAGAATTCAGTTTGCTTGTACTTATCAGCTAGGCAGTTTTTCTAAATTTAAACACAACTGGTATCTACACACACACACACACACCTATACATACATACATTCTTCTGCAAATAACAACTTTTCTTCTCCATCATGGTGATGATGATTCCTATTCATACAGTTGTGGACCTGGGCAATCTTAGTTTCTTTTTACTCCCCCCCCCCCCACAACAATAGGCACTTTCCAGGTGTACTATTGATCGATAGTGCATGGAATTGTTAAGTTCAGATCATTACTTGGATTTCATATCATAGTGACTAAGTGTCCCTCTCATACACACACACACACATAGACAGGATGAACAATAACAATTACTGACTGAGGTGGGTTTCAAAATAAGAGAATTTACCACAGAAGTAGTGCAGCACAATTCAAATTGCCACACACCCCACCCCGAATGTGGCAAATAAAAGAACTAACAATGAGTCAGTCCGTCTATCTGTCTGTCTGGATTCAACATAGAACTTGGCACCATAGTGCAGCAGTTCCAGTTACCACGTTCCAAATACCACACAAAGGTGGTAGACAAGAAGATCAGTGAAGAGAATCAATAGAGTTTTGACAAGTATAAGAGTGAAACAGAATGACTAATGGTAGAAAGGAATATGAGACTGAAGATTACAGAGACTGAATACATCTGCGACATTGACATTGACAACGATTTTGAGCCATGTCACCTATTGTCTGTCTCCAGCCATTGATTCTTAGAGTCACGAGGGTGGGCCCCAACCCGGAAGTCTGCATCTCCCTCCCTACCTGACTCAGTTTAACTGTCAAGGATTTCATGGATTGATTGATGGCATGTCTTTGTTTGGCCACCACTTACTCTTTTCCAACCTGCACCTATATCAGCATCAGCTAGTAATGCCCGTCGGGGTGGGGGAGGCGATGGTTAGGCATGCGCACCACGTGACCTAGCCATCTCAATCTATGTAACTTTATAGCCTCTCTGCCCAACACTCTACGCCTAACGTCAACATTACTTACCTTATTATGCCACCTAACGTGAGAAAGAGACCGTAGACATCTATGATCAAAAACAGTCAACCTTTTACTAATTATAAGTATAAAATGTAGGGGAAGAAAGAACGTTGTCAATCCGGTTGACAAACACCCATTTTTTGAAATGACACAAAACTTACTTACCGATGAATAAAATTTTTATTCTGTATATATTCTACACGTGTAATTATCTGATCAGCTAATAACAGGACTGTTTTTAATTTAAATCGACGGCCACAAAAGTTGAAGAGATCTTCTAAACTCGGCCCAAGTAGCTGTAACACGAGAACATTGTAATCGCCTTCTGTTCCAGACCATTTAAAACAAGGAATTCCAACTAGAGATAACAACAAAAGAAAAGAAAACATTGTATACCAATCATAAAGGCATTCGCTCTTTAATTTGAAATGAAACATAACCGGGCTCCTCAGTGCAACACTTTCATTCGAGTCACTAATACAAATAAGGACAATGGACCACCGAAGGGATTTCCCGTGGCGCAGAATACTATTGATCTGACAGAATTTGCTCATCCTCAAATGTAAATATTTTTTAAAATTGCTACAGTATGGTGAGAGCTGTCTGCTTGCCAAAATTGGTAGACAGCAATTCACGTCAGTGTTTACGTCCCAAATCTTGGTAATGAGAAAAAACAAGAACAAAGCTTAACCTTGAGGAAATCAACACTCAACTACAGCAGACCTAGCGTGGGCGGACACGATTCGCAGATACATCACCGGACTGTCTAAGAAAAGGCAACAAAGAGATGACAGAATAACCTTGAGAAGAAAACAACCAATCAGAGGACGTTGCTTCTCTGCTAACAACAACGAATAATAATGTACGTAAAAATCTACAAATATCTGTTGATTTTCTAAATAAAAGATCTGTTGCCTAGCCCTTGTATTCTGTCGTGCAATAGTACATAAAAACAGTAGGTGTTTCTTCAAATAAGACATGGAAACCGGCTGACATAGGATTATGTGTGTAACTAGAATTTCGATACATTTATCCCAGTGTATTTGAATAGCTTAGGCATCATGTTGTTCAGTCTACAGAGACATTATTAAGTCAAAGGTCTCTCTTTCAAAGCAACCTTGCAGATACTGTAACGATAGGAGACAGACAACAGATCGTTTATTGAGAAAACCAGCAGGTATTTATAGATTTTTATGTACATTAATATTCGTTATTGTTAGCAGAGAGGCGACGTCTTCTGATTCGCTGTTTTCCTGCTGAAGGTTATTCTGTCATCTATTTGTTGCCGTTTCTCAGACAGTCCGTTGATATATCTGCTGATTGTATCCGCCCGTGCAAAGTCTGCTGTGATTGGTTGTTGAGGCTTTGTTCTTTTCTTCTCTCTTGACTCCCATTCGGGACGTAAACATTGACGTAAATTGCTGTCTCCCAATTTTGGGCTAGCAGACAGCTCTCACCACAATACTACTTCCAATGGGAGTCAAGTTTAACTTTAAGCCCCGCTAACTACCAATGGAGTGCGCGTCCGCACCGTTGACCTTGAATGGTCCAATGAGATTTAATCACGTGAATTGAAGCTTCTATATTCCTCTTGATTCGAGTCAAATACCTGCTCTAATATAGTTGCGTTTGTAATTTGCTAAGGATTAAGTGTCTTTTAGTATTGCTTAGATGTGGGGTTGATTAGGAAAGAAAGGATTACTTCATGTGGAGGTGTGATGACCATAAAAAGCTTCAGTAGTCCGGTGGATGAATATGTGCTTCGTTGAGCTGATGATTCTAATACTTCGTATGAATATATAATACCTCTTTACAGAAAGGATTCGTCGATAGGATAGCAGATGGAAAGTCAAGTACTTTAATACCCTTGTATTACTCGACTTGTGAAACAAGGATCTATAATACACACAAATGAGTGGAAAGGTTATAACTCCCTATCATCCCCTGCATATATTCACCACAGGGTCAAACATTCTAGTGATTTTGTGGATCGCATTACACGGACACACGCCAATCCTATGGAAGGCTTTTAGGGAAGGATAAAAACAGGATTGGGGCTATGAATGAATCTCAAAAGGATGTCATATATGGTCATCTAGATCAATATATATATATATATATATATATATATATATATATATATATATATATAGGATGTGGTGTAACTTCTCAACTGATACTTCTGTGCTAAACTAGGAGATGTTTCTATCACATTTGACAGAAAGGTATCCTATGTTACACTTTTATAGCTTTTATGCATTTTTTTTCTCATAAATATATGTATTCCATACACAAAAATGCCTCCTTCACGTGACTGGTGCGTTCAAGGTCATCAGCTGATTGGTAGTTAGTGGTGCTTAAAGTTTGACTTTACCCTAATAAGCTCTAATATTTCCACTAAACACTTCGCAAGCTTTTGTGAGTTAGAGATTTTCACAATGACATGGTGGTTGTGCTAGAATCACGAACTTGTAGAAATTAGAATTCATGGGCTGGCCATTGAGTCAGGTCCCAGTAGGTGAATGGTATCCGGGGTTGACTTGTGGACTGGATGATCCTGGGTTTGAACCCCGGCGGTGGGTGAGCACCGCCGACAAGTCCAAAAAAACTAGGACGAAACAGTTAACTATGCAGTATTCCTCCTCCTCCTGGTTTCCAATGGTTCTCTAACTGATATGAAACCATGATATGTTATGAAATCCTCAATTACAATATAATTTAGACGAATAAATTAAGGTTCAATAAAGAAGGAAGTCCAGTGACTACATCAATCCCTGTGGGAAGCATCAACAAGCAGAAATGAAATATAACTCAGCAGCTATCGATCTGAAGGGATATTCCATGCAGAAGGCGACAAATTACACCTATTTTATGCGAACCTATCAAACTTCCTAGTTGTAATGACGTCAGTAAATGAAATAATACTTGAAAACGTTACTCATGCAAAATTTAGCTACAGCTCTCTCTCTCTCTCTACTAAACACCCACACATTAGCCTACACTAAAATGAACTGTTAGGTAAGGATAAATGCAATCGCATGAGACGTATTCGCGAATAGTATGCATGATAAACGCCAAAATAGATATTCTACCTGTGTAATAAAGTCGACAAAACACCTTCAAGTTTGCCAAATGTAACAACACATCTGAAAGGACTACATCATTCCCATTGACACGTCAATACAAAATCATCACACAAGATCAACTATTTAATTGGGGAGATTCAATTCACGCAATTCACCGCCTCCGTTCTATCCATTGAAGTAGGCGGGAATAAAATGGAGGCGAATTTTTTTGTCTAAGTGACAACTCACCATGATCTGATACATAAGTTTGATGTAAAGTGGTATGCAATAAGAGTCGAAACAGTGCACAAAACAAGAAAAATGACAATAAAATCCTATTTGTACAAAACTGAAACTTGTCAACCGCTCAGTCGGCCATTAAAAAGAGACTTTTTATGAAGTAAAATAGATAGATATATATCATATTCCTTCCATACGGTGTATTAACAAAGTTAAGGTCATTAAGGTCAACATGCAACACACACACACGATCACGCGCTCAACTAAACAATCCAACAACAGTCAAGGCTACAAAAAAGACGTTTTATTTACAACACAAATATGTTCAGGTAATGTGAAAAGACACTTCACTTAAGAAATAACTGTTCATGATATACGTGTATGAACGAATGAAACTTGTTCAACTTCATTTTTCACAAACTGAAATTATTTAGTTACAAATCAATAGTTGGCCAGAACACAGTTTCCATGTGGTCACACATATATACTAACTAGTCATCCAAGGCTAAAATAACAAGGTTGAATGAGACATTCAAACTCTAAACCAATTCAGCTGAAATTCCGAAATCTCTAAGTGTGTTACTTTGCAGGGATTTCATTGATTCCAAGTTTGATCAGTAGATGACTTCAGTTAGGAAACCACTGAGTACTGGACAGTGGTCTCGTCTTTGTTTAGGACTCTTCGACAGTGTACCCAACTACCCACTCACCCATAGCTCTACCTCAAGGGACCGGAACTAAATTCTTTAAATAACAATGTGAGCTCGTTGAGTGACCATTCAATCACTCGGATGGAATCCAGTGAGAACCATCACTTTTCACTTCTGAGAATCCGGTGGTGCATATTGCGCAACCGACAGATAACGTGCCATTGGCGAGCGATTTGTACTCATACTCGACCACCAGATAGAATCCATTTGTCACCCAACTTCACTCCCATATAGTCAGTTACTAGTGGACGATAGATAGACTAAACTTTCAAGTATTCGTTTGCAGAGATCTAACTGATTTCAAGACTGATAACAATATTTACTGACTTCAGTTAGAAAAAAGAACACACTGAAAGTCGAGGACTCTGAGTTAAGGATTAATCCTTAAAAAATCGGAAGTCAATTATCCAAAACTTCACAGTTGGAAATGAATTATAATTACACTGAACTCTCAAGGATATGGTTCAGGAACCAAAAGGCCATAATGTTTCATTAGTCAGCTTGAATTTCTCATATCTGGCTTTACATACACAGTTTGGAGCTTGAATAAACTGGCTTTTAGTTATTCTAAGACCGAGACCTCTCACACAATGTTGTGGCACAATAGTAATATATGATTACATTATATGAGAAACAAATATATGCACCAAGAATTGTATAAACACTCAACAACAGATGTGAAGATTGATAAAGTAAAATGAAAAACCGATATGTAAACTTAGAAAAACAAATTGTTATTGATAAGACAATCAGATTTGTTTAAGGCGTTCACGTTGAGTGAAATCTGATAAATTTCAGAGAGATTTGCAAACACCGACCAGTTCTTTTGCCTCAATGAGGTACGCAGTTTAGAAGTCAGTGATGTGGGTCAGCTTTTTCACTGCCTGACTGACTGCTTTCAACGTAGAACTTTGCACAGAGGTGCAGTAGTTCAACTTGCCACACACCCACATAAAACAATTAAAGCAAGAGAAGAGAGTAGAGAGGAATTCAAAAGAGAGAGATAATAAACAGAAGTGTGAGCGAAAAAGAATAGTTATATGGATGAACAGTAGAGTTTTATTGGATATTGTAAATCACAAACAGTAAATGCAACCGCAACAGCTACTGGCAGCCAGGATTTTGAGCTATATCACCAAATGTCTCCACCCACCATTGGTTTGCTTCTTAGCGTCTCGAAGACCCCAACCAACCAGGAAGACAGTCTACACCTCCTTAGGTGGCTGGCTGGCTGGTTAAACTAACTGTTACGGATTTCACTGACTGATGAAACCATGTTTTGGTTTCACCACCAATAGCTTTCTCTTTTCCAACCTGATCCATCCTGTGTCAATCAGCTGAAA